TGGGGAAGGAAGATGGGAGCAGCTCAGCAGTGGCTGCCTCAAGCCCATAGTGAACAAGGCGCTCAGAGTGGCAGACGACGGCTTCTCCCTCTGCATCTTCCTGCCCAGAGATTCAGCATGTGGCCAGCTTCCCGAGCTCTCAAATCCTGCCGCTCCCTTTCCCTCTGCTATCTTAGCCTCCACCTCCAGCCTCAGGCTGCCAGGAGAGGGAGAGTGTGAGGCCTTCAAGGAGAACTGTGGGCTGCAGGCTCCCCATAGCCACCCTTGTGCCTCTCCTTGGCTCAGCAGCTTGGCACAGCTGGACAAAAAGAGAAATCCCATCCCCTGGGCGGCAGAGAATGACCAATTCAGGGCATTCGCTGAGGCTTGGGAGCAGTCGGGAGCCACCAGGAACCTCCTCATACGCTGGCATGACATAGCCTCCAGCAAGTCCATGGGGCAGGAGGAGGAGGCTGGTGCCAACATTACCTGCATGGCCTGGGACGATGATGATGATAGTGCCATCGCTGAGAGCAAGAGCCAAGCTGAGACTCAGCAGTGGTGTGAGCCGCACACCTCCCAGGCAGGTGAGTGAGCGGCTCTGTGGGACCGGCTGCCAGGAGCCGGCCCTACTCCAGCTGCCCCTCTCCTTTTTCCTCACCCCACTGCTCCTCTCTGTTTCTTCCTCTTACTCCCTTGTTCCCCGTCTTTCTTTGTCTTGCCTCCTTACCCCCTCTGTGCTTCTTCCTCCACCTTTCCTCCAGTCTCTTTAGCCTGCCCCTTCTCCCCTACATGTTTCTTCCTCTCCTTTTCTCCTCCCTTCACCTCACCCCACTTCCCCTCTATATCATTCTTCCTCTCCCCTTGCCTCACCCTCCTTCCTGCCTTGTGTTTCTTCCACCCCTCCCCGCCTCTCCGTTTGCTTTGCCCCACTTCCCCCCCATCTCCTTCTTCCTCACCTGCTCCCCCTCTCCGTTTGCCTGTCCCCTTTCCCTGCTAAGTGTTTCTTCTTCTCCGGCTCCCCCTCTTCATTTTCTTCACCCTCTTTCCGCCCACTATGTTTCATATTCGACCCCTCTCCCATTGCCTTGCCCCCGTTCCCCCCTCCTTGCTCATGTGGATGTTCACTACTTCTCCAGAACTAAAGGGGCAGACCTTCTCTCTTCCACCAGTGATAAGGGAGCGTGCATTGGCTCCTTTTCTTGTGCATGTGCCACAGACAGTCGCTCCTTCTCCAGAGCAGAAGCCACACACTTTTGCTCCTCTCCAAGGTGCGGGACGCAGGCATTCGCCCCTAGCTTTTCTTCCCCAGTCAGGGTGTCATCAATATATTGATACACTGTGACTACAGGGGGTTATGGGGATTTCTGCTAAAACTTTAGCCAGAGCATTATGAACAATAGTGGGGGAATGTTTTGTATCTTTGTGGAAGCAGGTTGAAAACATATTGAGCCCCTCTTCAGGTAAAAGGAAATTGTGCTTTATCCTGCTCATGGCGCAGAACGATGAAGAACATGTCTTTAACATCTAAGGCAGCCATCCAAGTATGATAGGCTCCCTGTATCTGTGTCTCCAGTTCAGCAATATTAAGCACTGCCGCAGGGAAGTGTTAGCATTCAGTTTCCCGTAATCAATAGCTAGACTCCACTGTCCATTAGGTTTTCTGACTGCTGCATGCCACATGAGCTGGATCAGGCAGTGTCAAAAGACAGATCAAATACCATGACCCGATCCCTGCTCTAAACTTTAGCATTCTGATCAGCACAATTTAGAAGCAATATTCAAAAAGGGAAGGGACACCTCCACACACTCCCACCTCCAGCCGTAGTCAGGCAGGATGCCAACTTAAGGAGCTCTCTGCCCGCTACATACAGAGATTACTTCTTTTGTTTACAGTTCATTTTACAAAACATTCTGAGCATTCTCAGGCTTAAAAGCAGAAGTTATTTTAACAATGCTAAGAGAATTCCATAAGAGAAGTTCAGTTTCTCATTTGAACCTTGGTAGAGAACTGATCCACAGATCTTTAGAATTGGTGTCTATCAAAAAGCCACCAAGAGTGTCAGGATTAAAAATAATTTCTTACATTCAGCACTATCCTTCATCCATTAACTACTGTAACTGAAGCACTTGAAAATTTTATTTAATTTCAGCTATGCAAGTACAGCCTTCAGCAGTAAGGTTTAAGCTACCTCACTGAAAAAATCTGAGAAACATCTATTTGTATGTAAATTTTATTCTGAAAAAAATAGCACATTGCTTTGACAAGTTACAGGGGAAAAAAAAAGTTATGTGAAGTACAGCATTTAAAATATATATTTTTTTTCTTCCTAGTCTGAGAATTATTTATACTTTTTGTTATTAGCCTAAAACTCTTTGTTGAGAATAAAAAAAAAAAAACAATCATAATGGTTTGGGAAGCCTGATTATCTCCCCTTTTTGAACTTTGCTGCTGCATTGTTAGTTTTTGCTTTCTTCTTTGCTGATCCCTTGGATTCTGGCTCTTTGCGCTTGGCTGATGTGATAGAGCCAGTCACCTTGAAGAAGTCATCCAGTCGGCCTTGAGTGCTGCCTTGCCGGCTCTTGCTCAATCTTTTGATCCCATTGCGGATTCGTTCTTCATTGAACTGCTTCTCCCCACACATGAATTTGACAAGTTCTTCTTCATTTGGCTCAGTCCACTTCAGTTCAACAGCATCAGGGTCTATCACATCAGGCTCTAGAAAGAGCTTCTGGGCCTCTTTGTGCAACCAGTTCTCAGGCAGAGGATATTTCTTGGTATCTATATGCTGAACAATCTTTTCAATAGTTTTGTGCTGCTTGATAAGCTCAACAGCACGCTTGGGTCCAATGCCACGGATGCTCTCACAATAGTCACAGCCCAAGAGGATACACAGGTCAACAAACTGTTCCCAGGTCAGATCCAGATCTTGCAGAATACGATTCAGGTGAAACTCTTGGACTGGTAACTTCTTGGCCTCACTGGCAGTAAGGTGTCGCATCAGTACTGGACTGCCAAAGGTCAAGCAATCCATATCTTCAGTAGCAGCTGCATAGACCTTACCAGCTTTCACCAAGGTGGCACAGCTGGCTTCAGCCTCTCCTGGTGCCTCAATATAAGGAATGCCCATCAGCTTTAGTAACTTCTTGCATTCGTCAGTGTGCTGCTGGGTCACCTTGACCAGCCTCTTAGTGAACTTCTCAATGTTGTTCTCCTCTCCAGCCTCTTGAGCTTCTTGCAAATGCTTCTCTGCCTCAGCACGGCGCTCTGTTCGCTTTGCTAGTTCCCCCGACTTCAGCTGAGGGGGCTTGCCGTCGAAGACATAGACTGGCTTGATACCGTTCTCCACCATGCGGATGGTGCGGTAGAACATGCCCATCAGGTGGCTAGTGGTCTCCCCCTCCTCATTCTGCAGTGCCTCGGCCCCCTGCCGCACAGCGATGAGGAACTGGTAGATGCTCATGGACGCATCAATAGCCACCTTCCGCCCGAAGTATGCCTTGATATCGTTCTCCCGGATGGCAGCAGGGGCCACATCGGCGATCAGCTTGGCCAGGCCGTGGATTCCCATCCTGGAAAGCAAGGCAGGGCCCGTGCGGCCAAGGGCTCAACCTCGCGGCTGCCGGATGGCGAGAGGAGCCGGAGGGTGAGAGCACGGCCGGAGGGGCGCGGGGGCCACACGAGGCGCCGGCGGGGACGCGAAGTAAACGCCACCGGCCCCAGTAAACGCCGC